TCCTGCTCTAAATTCGTTACCAGAAACAACTTTATTAAGTTTGGGACGAGCAAAGAGAAAGAATGAGGCGAACAAGCTTACCTTCCTCAATAGTTTCTGATAGGTGCGGAGCGGAAGGATGAGAGTTTCGGTGGTCTCTTTAAGGTACAATCCCGACGTTGTCCTCCCAGCTAGCTCTAATGGCAATTGTATCGTGAAGAATGGGGCAAAATCCGAGATGGGAGGAGGAGGACAGAGGGTTTCAAGCGTAGATTTTCCCTGGGGTTGTTTGGTAGCAAGTTTTAAGCAGGATTCCTGCCAAACGACAAAAAATGCATCGGTAAATCCTGAGCTCCCGTAAGTCCTAAAATGACGCTGATTTGCAATAAATTCGGGATTTTCTAAATCTTGTGAATCAACAGATTTGGTAAAACTGGGACGAGCGAAGAGGAAGGATGACATGAACAAGCTTACCTTCCAAGCTGACCTTCCTCAATAGTTTCTGGTAGAAGCGGAGCAGAAGGAAGAGGAGAGTTTTGGTGGCCTCTATAAGCCGCGATCCTATCGTTGTTATCTCAGCTAGCTTCAATGGCAACTATATTGCGAAGTTTGCTTCACGAAGGCGATGGTTTTGGGCGAAACCGGGAGAGGAGTGAGATATGCGAGGTTTTTGGGAGTTTGGCCGAAACCAGAAGAGGAAGGAGGACACGCGGGGAAATGGGGGTTTTCGGCGTCGAGACGAGGGAAAACTATTACATCAGGGCTCCCATCCGGCTCGGCTTTACATCATGGAAAACTGTTACCTGAATATTTCAACGGCTTTATTTATAAAAATTATATGATATTAGTGTATTATATGATATTATTTAATTATTTTATGGTGTTATTAGAATATTCTACTGTGTTATTAGATTTGGGGCTGTCTTATTTGACATATTTTCCGTGTTATTTTAATTTTCACTATGCTATTGGAATAACACAGCCCCAAATCAAATATCGTGATAAAATATTCCAATAACACCGTAAAATATCATTATTACAAATAACTTAGATGGAACATTCCTGTAACACAACTGGATATTCCAATCTGAACGTAACTCTACGTTAGGAGTCCAAATGTAATATTTTTCCCAAGACGGTAGTAAGGATGCTTTTTGACGACAAATGAGTCGCGACGATTTAATTTCCATCGGTTTATAACAATATAATAACTGACAACTGACGGTTATCAGATATCATAAAAAGTTCGTCGGTTCGTCGACTAGAGAAAGCAGCTTCCTTAATTAACGACAACATTAGTCCATGGGTTATTATTTAGAGAGCGTTAACTCTAAATATATCATTGGAATTTTTTTTTATAAAAAAAATGATAGGTTATGTAGTAGCTATGCCCACGAAAATCGATGAAAATTATCTCTAATTGATTATCTGTTGTTAAGTTGTCAAAAATTAGCACAACATTTTCGATCCAGAAAAAGCATTGGTTTTGCCGTAAAAAATAGCTGTAGTGAATGACATATGTTTGCCTAAAATAGCTGACTCAAGCGAGTTAAGCGAGTTAAGCCGAGGTAGAACCCCTTTTCCTTCTTGTATGGGCCTTTGATTGGCCTGACAGCAATCCCCCAATTTTCACAGACACTCTAGAAGAATCGAAGCTTCCAATCTTTTATCTTGTTCTCCAAGTCAATAAGATGGAACTTTTGGGTCAAGCTGAAAATAACATATCCGTCCGACTCCACCCTAAAAAAGAGAACATGTGGAAGAATAGGTCTTCAGACAATGGAATCCCCATCCGACACGAGTAAACAACGTGCATCATTACCACAACAATTGAGTTCGGCTTGATTTGGGCGGGGATAACTCCATAGTGATTTAGTATCCACTAGATCTCTAGTCAAAAGGGCAATCAGAGTCCCCTCCAGAACTGTTCGTGGTAGAAAATTAAGTCATCTCCCCAATAATTAGTCGTTCGAACGTCCGGCTCCACCTAGTTGAGCACAAGACTTGTGTCATACAGACAAGTGTCATCCAGTAAAGCTAGATCGAACGTGTTGTTATCGATTGCTCGACAGCCCGTACCAAACCATATAGTTGAGGCGAGTATTTGGATGCCAAGGGAGCTCTTGAAAGTAAATGACAAACGGGAAATAAGAGTAGAAAATGAAATAGTGCAATCTTTTTTTTCTCATTTAACTATATATATATGGTATCCAAGGAATTTGAAACGCCTGGAATCTGTACTTCAGACTTCATAAAATTTAAAAAACACAGTGATAAAGACTTTCAAAATTTGAAAAAAATTAAATTATTTTTATGATAAAAATTATTTTACAGTGCGGTCATCCATTTTCTTAGACAGCACCAAACCCCGACTCACGAGACTCGAGTACAACACACGCCTCCCAAACTTAAATTTTTCTATACCCTCTACTTCGGCCCGAGCTCATGGTATTAATTTGGTCACCGGGACTTCTGTCAGTTTAGTGTGGATGGTCTCCACTTTGACCTGGAGGGCCACCACATCAGCGTAGAAGACCACCAGCTCCTCCTTCAAGGCGGAAATAACAATGTCTCTCTGGAGGCCAACCTCCCAATCAAAGGAGTTCACTGTCTCGCCCATGTCGCAGGTCAACGACTCATGGGAACCACACTGAACAAAGTTCTCCCTCTCGACAACCTCCTGGTCCGACAGATTGTTGGGTACACCTCCACCCTGAGCCAAAATAGAAGGTCCCGTGATCGTCTCTGGAGTGGGGGTCAGGGCTGGCTGACTTTCACGGTTAGGGAATCGACTATATGCACGATTTCATCTGCAAAGATAATCAAATGTCAGGATAGGGATAAGGAATGAACCATGCATTTATGTTAAAAGTTTCTTTACCTATTAGCCTTTCTATATTATATGTACGGAGACTCTTGCCAGTAGGCAGTAAGACAACCCGCCTAGCTAACCTTGTCAGCCAAAGTTAGAAGAACCACACCTTTGTGTGGCTGAACTTGGGTCGTTGTGGTTGTTTGCTCCTGTTGTTGTCCCAACCAGTGAGCCAACCTTTGTTGAATCGGATCTCGAGCAAGATTGGTGGACTGGTGGTGTGCACCGTAGTCCTGCTCCCTACCTCATAGAGTGGCAAAGAGTGAGACGACTCTACCGCCTCCTCTACCCTTTGCCTCTTCAGCATCGCATGCTTAACTAGCTTGGTCCCCTCTGACTAGATCCATTCTCTTGGCTTCTTTGAGCCAATCAGTCGTCCTTCACTTTCCGACCTCTTTCCTACACCTCAACTCTCATCCGCAGGTGTTTTCTTCTTTTTCTTGCCCACAGGGTGACGAAGTTTGTTAGTCGAAAGCCCGAAGGCCCTCAACATAGCTTCTTCAATCACAAGTTTCTTGCCGCTCACAATTACTATTCTCCTTTGAAAAATTGATTGTAGGGGAGAAAATCCAAAAATGGTTATAGAAAAGATCTAACCATGCCTTATTTATAGGAAAAGCGGGTATGGAAATCTGGATAGTTCAATTGTTTGAAGTATTTATTATGTAATAAATACATCACTAGATGCATACAATTCTCTTATTCTTATCGCAGTTTTTGTTTTCAAGGAGTAAGAGAATCACGAAGTTAAGTTTGTACATCAGAAATATGACCAATACATCACTAGATGCATACAATTCTCTTATTCTTGTCGCAGTTTTCGTTTTCAAGGAGTAAGAGAATCACAAAGTTAAGTTTGTACATCAGAAATATGACCACAAAAGCCTTAAGAAAAATCAATGGATCTCACTAAGAAAATACTAACAAACCGCATCAAGATGGTAGAAGATAGAGGCATCAAGTGTCACGTCATTTGGTCAAAATCATGGGCCCACCAAAGGAAAGTGCAGCAGAACGAAAGAATATTTTGCACTTGATCTGAAGTACACGCATTTGTAATTAAGTCCCTCAATCAATTATGGGATTTTTCATAAAGATTACCAATAGTCATCCCATATCCTCTATAGACAACCTATTTCGAAGAAGGCCTGCTTATCAGATTACGGTAATGTGCCATTTGTCTGATCGTCTAATTTCACCCTAGAGATAAGAAGATCTCTAAAGGGAGTTGTCTCAAGAAGGCCGACCGAAGATCTTCCACCTGACCGAAGACCTTTCAAGCACCGAACAATTATGAGACGACCGAATAATAATATTAGTGAATTATTAATGGTCCCTCTTTGAAAAGTTATAAGTATGAAAAGTGCCAAAAATGACTACGAATATAAATGATCCCAACATTAGTTATAAATCCTTATAGATGTAATGGTGCATTAATCACTTGTAATGTCACTATTAAAACAGAGACAAATATATAACTTACGAGAGACCCCCTATGATTTATAAATAACTAGTTCATTTCTTCAAGAGGTAACATCTGGATCTATTTTGAGAAATTTTGTATTATCGGGCACTCAATTATTCTTTTACTTTTTATTCCTCTATTCCTCTCATCCGTCCAACGCTCGGTGAGAGTTCCTTGTGTGTGATTGATAGAACATTATTAGATTCAACAATGGCAATAAAATTTTAATTTCAAATGAAAATGTAAACAAAACAAAATAAAAATGAAAAATAAAAATAAAACAAACGTAATCCTAAACTTCCCCTTACAGATTATACCTCACATAAAGGTTTAAGCATTTTAGTTGAAAATTAGTTTTGACCGTTGGTGCATCCATCCCAATTTCAAAACCTCTGTGATTCACACTCTCTTTTACTCCGTATTGGTGATCACATATGCACCAGGAGAACATTCAAATTTGAAAAACCAATCTTAGTCTCCGGCCCTTCAAAATCACTCTACCCTTGAAAAAAAAACTATCAACGCTCTTGATATTATTGGCTCATGGTCCATTAGATCGAAGCAAAACGGATAGAAGCCTAATAATAAACTCTCTTAATACTTGTTAAAAATATTGCTAATGTCAATATATTAGAAAATTTAATAAGTTTTGCAATTTCTATGTTGTATTAATTAACTTCTTACCAAGTTTTGTTCCCACCAGCAAAATTGGTACATTTGGAGCATAATGCCTCAGTTCAGGAATCCACTAATAAATGAAGAGGCAATTTCAGATTAGTGAATGCCTAATAAGATAATCAAGGAGATCGGTTCAGTTTTGCAAGCAAGAGAAGGAACCTTTTTGGATATGTTCTCATAGCTGGCCCTGCTGATCAGTGAGAAGGCTAGTAAGAATACATCAGCTCCTCTATAACTAAGAGGCCTTAGTCTATTGTAATCTTCTTGACCTACACAAAAGAAAGTTAACTTATATTTCAATCCAGCACTTAATAATAGCTAATAAAGAAAACAATGTATCCATTTTACATCTCTGCAATTATGATCATCAAATAGTATCCATCATATTTGTGGTTTGATTAATTCCTTGACATGAAAACATTCTAATAAAAAGTGACACACTAGCACATATTTAAGAAAAATAAAATTATATTTCCTTGACATGAAAACATTCTAATAAAAAGTGACAATGAATGGGACCTCTCACTAGCACATATTTAAGAAAAATAAAATTATATTATCCACATACTCTTCAAATTGAGGACTATTGCGGCCCGAACGAAATGTTTATGAGACTAATTTGACACTTGTATAGAATGTGAGACTAAAACGATCCCATCTAAATAGCCAAGGATTTTTATAGAATCTGAGACTAAAATGTCCCAATCAAAATAACTCTAGGAATCACTTTAAAACTTTAATATCTAATGTCTGGTGCAAAAATTAAAATTTTAAAAGAATCTTATTTTACTAAACTGCGTCAAAGCTTGGAGCTCCCACTACTATATGGATTACAAAGAGGGCTTTTGCGGACGTCTTTATTCTTGTATTTATAAAGAAGCTCTTTCAGTGATTCAAATCTGATAATCTATAGTACACTAAAGAAAACTAATCTTCATCTCACTTTCTACCTTTTTTTTATATGTTGCAGACTATATGATACCTTCGCTTCCAAGCATAGTTTCATTGAGACAAAGAAAGGTAAGGGTTTTCTGTTCTTTTCTACGTTCTTTCTTTCTTTCTTCCCCCTTTTTTGCGAATCTGACCCTTGTGTATATTTGGATTGCAATGAATTTGACTTTCTATCCTTCCTCACACAATAATTCGTTGTAAAGATAAGTTAAGGTAAAGTGTTAGTTTGTGCAAAAATTGGAGGAGAGTTGAAAGGCAACACAATTGGAACTGACTCATCAAAAAAATAAAAATAAACATATAAACCAAGATTAACATATGAATCTTCACAACTTCTTGATCCAATGCAGAATTTTACCATTCAAGGTTTACCGCGAGTAATTTAACTACTCATGACTTCTGAGTTGCTCTTCTCTTCAGTTGAATCATCATATTTTGTTATGGTCATACTCCTCAATCGGATTCAGTCTTCTTCTTCCTCATTCACCAATTAGATCTAACTTTATTTTAAATAAAACTCTAGGAATCAAAGCCAAACAATGCGGCAGAAACTGCTAGTTGGAGAAATCAAGCTCACCTGCTGTGTCCCAGAGCCCAAGATTCACAGTGCTTCCATCCACCACCACGTTTGCACTGAAGTTATCAAATACAGTAGGCACGTAATCCTACACATTTCCATGGGAGAACCATGGCAAGAAAAATTGAAAGAAGTTTAGAGAGGGATTTGAAAAGGTAGATTTCAAAAGCGGACAGTTCTTAGCAATTAGCAGCCACTGATTTGAAATAGGAATCAGGTTACCGTTGGAAAGGTATTGCTGGTGTAGGAGATAAGCATGCAAGTTTTTCCGACAGCACCATCCCCGACAGTTACACACTTGATAAACCTAGCAGTGCTCATCTTATGAGGAAACAGATTCTATTCTACTCCTCCTTATGCTTCTTCTTTGAGCTGTTTGATGAAGATTGCTTATTGGAGGCTTTATAACTACAAATGGTCACATATAAAGCATAAAACGTAAAGAGTGAGGGTAAAGGAAAGAAAGGATAAAAAATCCGCTTTTCAAATTTGAACAGGAATGGAGGGGAGGGGAAGATCGGTGGTCTTTACTTAGCTGGGTGTAGCCCCACAATAGCACACGGATTATATTTTGCTGTTAAGTAATGCAACATTTCATCTTATCAATGTAAAGTTAGTATTGGAATGCAGGACACCTTAATTTGTTGATTGAAAGATGACGCTCTCAATAAAGAGTTTTCAAATTTAAAGTCATGCCTACGTGGTATGCGTGCGTTTGAAATTACATTTACTCAAATATTTAAAAAAATGTTAGTATTTGAGAAAAAAATTGTCAAAATAATATTCTACCTCTATGTTCTCAATAAAGAGTTTTCAAATTTAAAGTCATGCCTATGTGGTATGCGTGCGTTTGAAATTAAATTCACTCAAATATTTAAAAAAATGTTAGTACTTGAGAAAAAAGTGTCAAAATAATATTCTACCTCTATGTTGTGGGTCATTTTAATCCAAAATTTATATGTACACTCAAAAAAGATCTTCACGACGAATCTCGAGACAATCCAACTTTCCATATTAAAAGGGATGACTGATATCCCCCACATGAAAAATTATATTTTCATGAATCCGATCGGCTGAAGCCACCAAGCCGACCGATAGTCAGCCAACAAATAGGTCAGTCAACCAAAAGTCTGACGATCGTCCGAAGGACTATCAGTAGACCAAGAGCCAACCCGACAACCAAAGGGCCATCTTGACCAACAAGAGATATACATCCATGCCAACGACCAGACAAAGGCCTGAAACCCCAACAAGCTCAGAACTATCAATGTGAAGACCTCTCAACAGCTTCCCCAAAGATCTTGAGAGATCATCAAAACCTGTTAACCAGGCAAGTCAACTGGCCACCCTAAAACCAACTGACTACCACACTCAAAGCCGACTGGTTTCCGAGATCGAAGGATGACCGATGTCTAGACAAAAACCTACCAAAACCAGCTCAACCGATCGACCTAGGGACCTATCAAGCAAAAAGTTCCAGGGAGGCAAAAAAGCCATAATACCCCGTACAATCCCTCCAAAGATGTGGTAAATCATGTAATTTTATCTCTTATCCCTCTATCTTCCATAAATAGGATACCATAGCATGTATTAGTGGCTTTTGACTCTCCCCATATGTCTTGTAACACATATATGCAAGATATAAAGTCGGTCGAACAACCTGAGAATGCCCCATTTGCCCCTATGTGGTAAGTCTGTGTGTGTGTGTTTTCTCATTCTCTCTCCCTTTCTACCTCTCTCTTTCTACCATTTCTTCACAATTTCTACAGTTCTGATCCTTGGGCATGCCTCACAAAACAAATCTAGATTCAACATCCTAACAGTTGCGGTGAGTGTGGAGCATGCTGCCAATAAGAAGGGAAACAACCCCAATGAGGAGAAATACACCGCAGAGACACTTCTAATAGAAAGCATGCCAAAGAGTTCATGCAGCAATAGATATAAAGCTAAAAACCTTTTTTTTGTCATCTTCTTAGAGGCTTTGGCTAAGAAGAGAGAATCACAAATTGAATATACTATTTTCCCCTAACGGTCAGAACAGTCTCTCAGAGAAAGCTGATTGACGATACCCATTCAATGCTCGATCAACTTCAGGCAGCTGACACTAAGCTCATCAAATAAAGGGAATATCATTTTAAACCGTATCTTTTATTCAATGATAAATCCTTTTAAAGTTTTATCAGGTTTGATTGACACTTGAGGAACTTAAATCCAAGAAGCAATGCCGATAGTGCCCCTATGAGGTCCAGTCACCAGAATAGCCCACAACGCTCTTGCATCGTAAACCTTAGTCTCCAAAATTGAATCAAATAAAGCATGGAGGTAGTTCCCTACCCAATAGTGATAGGCTTCCTGAAGGGTATGATGCAAATCACCATAGCATAGAGTCATGATGGCTACCCCCACGAAGGTAGCGACAAAATCCCCCTAAGTTCTTATAAAGAGTGCAAGTCGACTGAGGTGATAGTCTGACTAAGCAACAGAGAGCTCGAAGGACAACATAAATGTTTGATTGGTATAAAAGAATAATGATGACACACACAAATGCCATAGACGTCCAATCGACATCCTAAGAAAATCTCACCTATATCAAAACACTGGATGTATAAAGCCGTGGAGGTGGTTCTTTGTCGAGTATCAGCAAGCTCCACAAAGAGTATAATGCAACTCACCCCAACAGTGAGTTTAGTCGGTTACTGATACACCTAAAAATATATAGTGTTTTTAGATACATTTTTTTACCTATTTTTGTGATATTGCGCTTTAATGGAAGATATTTTTGTATTTTTCGTGCAGATATAAGTAAAAATGAAAAAAATGCCTAATAGAGTGAAAAAGGATCAAATTTGGAGCAAAAAGATGAAAAATTGTGCAAAAGAGTTTTGGCACCTAAGTGTCAGATCCGACGCTTAAGCGTCGGTTAAAAAGAGAAGGCCGTTTAAGCGCCGGTTAAAAAGAGAAGGCCGCGCCTAAGTGCCGACACCGCCAGTGACAGTTACTAGACGAGTAAAATCAGTTTTCAAGAATTTTGAAGAGGTTTTAGAGGCACCCATTAGCTTAATGGGTGGTTGTAACCACTATGGACAAAAATTATCATGAAAGGATGCATTTCTTGGGGAAATACATCGAATCACGACACATTTTGAAGAGATCCCAAGGCACCTCTTGGAAAACTATAAAAGAAAGAAGAGAGGACTTAAAAAAGAGTCCTGAAAATATTCCCAAGTTTTGAAAGTTCTTTTATGGGGAGTTAGTTTGGAGAGATTTTCAGGAACAACTTTTTATTTTACTTTATCCTTTTTGCTATTTTGTTTTGAGTGATTGTAAAAGAGAAGAGATTCAAATGAACTTCAAGAGTTTAGTGG